GTTTAATGAATGGAATAATGTCGCAAAATGAAATGAACTATAAGCCAAATGGTGGATTAAAAAGTTGAATAGAATATTAGTGAAGACAACTTTCTTATGCACCTCCACTGGTAAACTTATAGATAATCAAGCCTTATTAGCAGGAAAAGCAGTGAATTAGTTAATAACACATGATTTTTAGGAAAACTTCTGGTAGGCAAAAAATTACTGCAATTTTTTCTATTATATATAAGTATATTAGGTCATGCCATAAGCACTTAACTTCCTTATTCATATACACAATGGTATAGACCAAAATGTGGCAGAACAAAGGCTACAGTTAAAAGCAATTAGTTCCATTTTTAAGTTAGAAAACGCAGTATTGATTTCAAAGCAAGATAGTTAGATAACAAAAATTAAAAATGAGGGAATAGTTGGAAACACTTAAGATATGATAATTGCAAAAAAACTGTTCAAAAATAAAGCTAACATTAAAAACGAGATCATATCGAGCTAGTACAGCTAAAGGAGTGCAACAAAATCCAAAACTATATCAGCCTAGCCTTCATGTACGCGAAAAAATCTATAGTTACATCCCGTTGCTTTTATTTTCGAAGTTTAATGAGATAAAATAACTAAAGAAGTGGGCTGACCTCGTTTTCGCAACTTGGTCTTGCTGTCAGGGCGACTTAGTTGAGCGCGCCTTGTCTGAAATCCTCTGCCCTAGTATCCATCCTAATTCCCAGCTTCAGAACGTGGATTTGGCACATTTTCAGACGTTTAGCCAGCATCATCAGTGAAATTTGCCATTCCCCGCCCTAAGATGAAAACTCGTCAAAGAGACAAGTGAAGTCAATCCCTCAGCCAACGTTCTGTCGAAACATTTACGCTATCACTCCTCTTTCTGTCCTGGCTCATCCATCAACTCCTTACCATCTTATCCCACTCCCGCCCTATCACAACTTCTCCCTTGTATGCATTCGACTCGTTAAAAAGTGTGCTCTTCTTTGGCTAGCTTAGTGTGGCGTCATCACATCTGCTATTCCCTATGACCCCCTATCTTTCGATCGGCTAATCCGACTGAGGCCTCCTATCCGGATCTCATTCATGGTCCCGTAGATCAGTTTTCTATCATTTTGGCTGACCGATTTCATAATTGTTGAGCTTACTTCCATTTCGATTGAAAGTGCTGGGTAAAGAGATTTAAAGGTCGGTTCAACCAGAAGACGACGGCGGATTCCTATTGACCAGCTGTCTATTGGCTTTACTGGAAGATTTATGCTGACATTGTTTCCGAGGCAATCTCCTTCGCTTCCGATGAAAAGGTGCTAGGTTTTCGTCCGTCATATGACGGACATCATCAGAGCGAGGAAGCATTTTCACAACAAAATTCAAGCTAACGAGTCAAGAAAACCCATCACTTACATGCATTGAAGTTGACATATGACCTTAACTAATCAAATCACTTTATACTTGATCAAAGAGGCCAGATGTAGAGTGTAAATACCACTTTTTATGGATTTGCCGGTGAGTTTTCTTGACTCGTTAGCTTGAATTTTGTTGTGACGATGTT